ATGCTCCGGGAGCCCCGCACACCCGAGGCTGCAGGAGGCAGCTGGCCCCGGGGAGTGACAGGATCCTGATGGCAGCAGCACGTGGAGCATCTTCATGTGACATCCACAGGTGGGGCGGAGGGGAAAACAGTTTTTATCCGTTGCTATGGAGTCATGATTAGCTTGTGTGTCTTCAGAGCCTGCCGAGGAGAAATGAAGGCTATTTTCTTATATAGATGTCATGAAATCAATCCTGGCAGAATTTCGGGAGTCAAAGGCTAAGCAGGTTTGCCTGAATGCCTCCTGTCACTCGATACACAAATAAATCTAGCCAGGGGACCTGAAACAAGTGTCACTTGTCAGCCAGAGCCCATCACAAAAGTGACTTTTTAGTCTCGTTCGGAGCTGTTTATGCACACGGCAACGCAACAAACGCGCGTTCAATAAAACACAGCAATTATCTGCACCGAAAACGAGCCCTAGAAAACCAAGCAAAAAAAACCACCCTTATTGCAAAGGGTGACTTCAGAAGAAACTTTTCTCTTATTCTCTCCAAATGCTAAAAGCAAACCTGATGTTCTTCTTTTAAAATGTGTCTGCCTCTAGGTCTTTGGCACAGGTTTGCTGCTGGGAGGGCCGGCAATCTATTTAATGACTGCATTGACGTCAATAGCATAACTGAAATACTTACTAAGATGCATGAGTCCAACTTTCGGGGGGTGTGTTCGAGGCAGGCGGGCACAACACGCGGTACGGACTCCCTGCAGGAATGAACTCCCCCTGAGAGCTGGGAAGAGCCTCGGGATGGCTGGAGCTGCCTCAGCCCTGCTCTGAAATTCGCTTTGAAACGCTTTTTTAATCTGGTGAGCGGAAAGAATCGCTTCAGAGCTCACCAGCTCTCGTTCAGCTCATTATCCACCTGATTTCTTACACGGTTTTGGTTAGTTTCTGAATAATCTGCATGGTGCCTGATCTGCATCAATCATTTATCCTTTAAAAATAATATCTGTAGGTGCTAGCAAGCCTCCGTTTGTGCATGCAGCTCTGTGGCTCAGCTTCTCAGGAACTCGTGGTTCCTCTGCACTCCTGTGAAAGCCCAAAGCACAACAAGCGTTTGACTTTTACGGTCGCTCTCCAAATCAAAAGGTCAAATCTTCAGCCGAACTCCCAGCAAAGAAACTGAATTTCAAAAGGAGCCCTCTCCTCTCTGTGTGTGCCCAGAGCCATTCTGCACGTGCCAAGCAGAGGAGGATGGCACAAGAGCAGCAGCTCCGCACTAATTCCTCGGGATTCAGGGATATTTGTAACCCAGAGCTCACTCGGATGCACAAGGCTCCTTAACTCCTACCAAACCTCGGGGCTCTCGGTAGCATGAGCATTATCCAGTCTTTGTTTATGCTTTACACAAAGGTTCGTGCACGAGTCTGTGTTCGTCCTACACCCACAGGAAAAATGAAAGAGTACGAGTTTGGAGGTCGTGTAAAGGCATGTGAGAAGTGCAGACAAACGTGCCGAGGTACAGGAAAGCAGAGCTAAGGCACAAGGAAGAAAAACACCGAGCCTTCCCTCCCATCCCCAGAGAGGAATTTGAACAAAGCTTTAATCCCGTGAGCCCTGAAATGCTGGGGGTGACATATCCCAAAGGGCTGCACCCCCCGAGCCGGGGCTGCGGCAATACCGTGTCAATAATTGTGAGGAGAACTCTCATTAATTGTGAGAGCACAGCTGTGAGCTGTGAGTGCTGAGAGCATCCCAGGGATCTTGAGAAGAGTCTCTGCAAACCCTCCACAGCCCGGGAAAAGCTCGGTGCTGTTTGATCCATAACCCTATGCTTTGCTCCTGACATTAAATGTGGCAGTGGATCAAACAGGAATGGGAAAACACTCTCCATCCCAGGACTGATGGTGTGGGAACAAATCAGGCTGGGAGAAGTTTGTACCAAACTTGTGGAAGAACGAGAGGCTTTGACTGATGGTGGCAGGCAGTGAAAGGTGATTTAATTTAAGGGGGATAAGGGGAATAAATATGGAAGAAGAAACAAAACCAAGAAGGGAAATCCAGACTTGTTGCTGGTTAAAGGTGTTATTGGTTGAATCATTGGGTGGGAACCGCAGAGCTTTCACTGGGGCCAGGGGAGGGGAGAGCTGGATGGAGAAGGGATGGATTCCTGAGCCCAAGGTGGCACAAAGGTCACAGAAAGTAACTGTGGCAGAGGCCACGCTCTGCAGAAACAAAGGGGACAGAGAAAGAAACCTCGGGAGAAAGAGCCCTGAGGGACAGTGCGTGACCATCTGTCTCCCATTGTTGCTGTAACCCAGAGGTGCCTGAGCAGCACCGTGCTGCCCTGGCCCCACACAGCTGCTGGGGACACCACACACCGGGCAGGAACCCCACAGCATTCCCATCATCCTGCCCAGCTAATTAAGGATTGATGGACTTTTGCTGTGACTTTGTATTTCCATGGTATGGTTGCTCGGTTAATTCATAAAGGCGATTCTGTGCGTTCCTGTGAGCTGCAGTTATAACAAAATAACAGGAAAAATCTGCCAGATTTACTTCAGCTGATACCAAGGACAAAACACAGGATGTTCAATCCATATTCCCCTTCCTTCTCTGGCTGTGCTTGCAAGGTTAAGAAAGCTCTGAAATTCACAGTGACACCAGCAGTGCCTTTCAAGGCCCTCTGTCCCAGGAGTAACCCGGCCAAAACTTTTCCTACTTATAAGAAAATGAAAGCAAAAAAGAATTTCCTCATTTCACCACAGCTCATTTACTCCACCACGGGCCTGGGTCCTCAGTGATGCAACACCAGCAACAGATTTGGCTGTTGTTGCTTGGAAAATCCTGGAATATTCCAGTTGGAGTAAATAGCTGGCGTGTATTCCTTGCAGTGCAAATGCTGGATGTAATTTGCCTCCCTCCAGGGGAATTTTATTAATGCAGCCTCATTTGCTTTAAGCCCTGAGTTCTGTATTTCTCAGGACAGGATATAAATCACCCCATGAATGACAAATCAAAGGAGACATTCACAAGATGCTCACAGTGATGTCAAGTGGGAAAGCCATGAATCAATGGCTGACATCAGAGGGTTAAAATCAAATTCCAACCTTCAACAAATCTGGTGAATCTAAACCCAGTTCGTTCCAAATACAGTCTTTTATCTAGAGAGATGTGAAGCAGCCTGGTCCCAACCAAAACATGACTGCTTCCTTCTCAGGAAAAACACTCTGCATCCTCTCAGCCGCTGGCACAGAACTGGAAGGGTTCTGACAGGAAAATCTCTCCTTCTCTTCATAATTTCCAAAGCAGAAGCTGTCAAGGGGGGAAAAATGCTGCAAACACTGAAGAAAAATCCTTAGAAGTCTCTGTTCTTTCTGAATTAAATGGAAATTTCCTTAGAAAGTCAAGGGATGTGTTTGTTTTCTGCTGCCTGGAAAGGAATTCAGTGTGACAGTGGCTGTGAAGAGGCAGAGGAAGGCACTGACCTGAATTTAACCAAGAACCCCAGGATTTTCTTCCAATAATGCCAATATTGGCTGGTTTTGTGTAGGAAATCACACAATTTCCTATTAATAACAAAAAGGCATCTCCTTCTTACCTACAAAGCGTCACAATTTACTGAAGCTGTAATGATACAACTCACCTAAAAACATTTTATTTGAAGATTTCACCTAAAAGCAGTTAAGATTCATGGTTAAAAACCTATTTACCTGAGGGGCCACAAATCCAACCTTTAGAAGGTAACACAAAACTTGCTCTACGGTTCTGTGTGTCAAACACTTCATTCCTAAAGGAATTTTCATGTATTCCCAGCATTAGAAGTTTGGATCAGCTAAAAAGTACCAAGTGTCCTGCAGCTCTCATGGGAAATAATGTAGAAAAATATCCCCGAAGTGTTAAAATGTTGAGAGTGATTTTTTCCACGGAAAGTGTTAAGAAAATGAACCTAAAAATTCCTGGAAGGGCATTCTCTCCTCGTTATTAGATTGTCTAAGTTACATAAACAGATCTATGGAAAGCCTAGGACATTTTCCATGATTCCTTTTTTTTTTCTTTTTACACAGGCACAAACTCAAAGCCAGGTTAGACCCAGCTTTAAATCAGGTGACGAGTTGCATTCCTGCTGGCTGTGGCAGAAAGAGAAGCAGTTAAAGATTGTGCTGTCCAGTTTTGTTTTTGCATCAGAGGTTTCCATCTTTCATTAACAAGTTTAGAGGAACCTAATCTGGAAGTGTCCAGGCCTCTGTGTGTCCCCTGAGAATAAATAACACACAGCAGGAGAGGAAATGATAGTTATCCAGCCTTCACACGCTGTGAAAATTAAGCTTTATTAGTCCCTCCAAGCATGTAATTATTGGAAAGGCTGAGATTAAACCTTACAAATGGGCACTGCTCCAAATCTTATCTCCTTCTCTCCGGAGCAACCGTTGAATGAGTGCAAGTAGGGCCAGCTCTGATCCTGAGCGGGGTTCTAGAGACCCTCAGCTTGGCTAAACCCAGGTATCAAAGCAAATAAACCTGTCCTAAGTAATCAGCTTCTGCTGCTCCTCCTTGTCCTTCCCTCACGGTGCTGCCCCCCCCACCTTGCCCTGGCACCCCCTTCCCAGCAGGAAGCCAAGGAAGTCTCACCCAGGAAAGGTTTGAGTACACAGATCACATGGAAACAAACTGAAATAAACAGAATTAAAAAAAAGATCCAGCTGTGTCTGAGCCTGTTCAAGGCTCATGGGCTGGGGCTTGTCCAGGCCTGTGCTCACAGGGACTCACAAGAACAGCAGCCACTGTGGCCATGACTATCAAACCAAAATCATGTTCACCTCCTGCACTAATGCACCAGCAGAAACCCCAAACCAAGCGATTAAAATAACAACATTTGGACCCGATAGCTCTCTCCCCTGGGTTTTGCAGAAGGAGCCCAGAACTGCACTGAGGAGGGGGCAGAGAAGCAGCTGTGAGCAGAACTGAGCAATAAATGTTGAGTGCGCTTGGCTTGGCAGCCCGTCCCCAAATCCCACACGTACCTTGCAGGTTCACTCTGGAGACAGGTGGCTGACTCGTGGCTGGGGATCTCCTAAGAGGGATAAAGAATTGTCTGTCAGGAGGTGGGATTTTATCTTTCCAAACCCTGCCAGCTCCCTCAGTTAAAAATCCTTTCCCATTCTCCCAAGAAACCCCAAACGCTTCACCAAGATTTGCTGAGCAGTATTGACAGATCTGATCAGAGCTGCCTGTTCCACCAGCTGGAAATGAGAAATGTGCCACCATCCCATGCTGCCTTTGCAACTTTGTGCTCAAAATAGGCCTGGAGGCAGCAAGGGCCAGGCTCTAGTGGCTCCCCACAGTCAAGGCCTTTTCCCATAAAGCTTTTCCCTACAGAGGTTGGAATGGACCCTGAAGTGATGCCAAACTGCTGCAAGGTGATGCTACAGGAAAGGTCAGAAATGTTCCTTTACACCCTGCAGTTAACACTGGAACTGCTCCTGAAGCGAGGAAGAAGATGCTGCAGTCACTACTGTTTAGCTCTGAAACAGCTGAAGGACACTTTCTGGACTCTGAGCAACAATTTCAGCAGCAATTCCTGGATTTTGGAGGGGCCAAAAGCTATTTGAAAAGAATTGGTTCAAGTCAAGCCAACAAGGTCTGACTGGAAAAAGATGTAGATTCTCTCCAAAAGTCAACACTGTTCCCTGTGAGACTTGCCAAACAAAACTCTTAATTTTTCAAGCTGAAACCATCATCAGAGACTTGGTTTTTAAAGGAGTTAAAAAGAGCTGACACCAAAATCAAGACACTTCAGTTTGGATTGACTGCAATACTTCAGGCTGACCAAAAATGAAAGTTTGGGCTTCTGCTTCCCTAAGAAGTTTCGGATCCATTTTAACTGGAGCCAGATTTCCCCACACTCTCCCTTGGCCAGCCTCCTTCCTAACCCCAAATTTCAGAGTCAGCCACTCAAGTGCAACACGCATTATTCGCCAGCTCTCCTTTGAAGCTCGAATCAAAGCAGGCAGAGCGGCTCAATTGTGCTGCAATTGTAGCTCCAGGGGCTTCTTCAGAAGTGCTCCGGGAAGGCTCCGCTGCCCGGGTGAGCTCTGGAGCACAATCCCAGCCCTGATTCCATCCCTGCTCCCGGCAGGAGCCTCCCCAGCGTCCCAAGGCTCTTCTGGTGGGATGTGCAGGACCCGGGCTCAGCACAAGGCACACGCGCTGGGCGCTCAATTCCCTGCAAATGTGCCCCGACCTGCCTCTGCTGAGCCTTTGAGAAGCTAAATCTTGGAATGCCTAAGAACCAGAAACTCCCCGACAGGGCCACCGTGCTGCAGCACTGCCAGAACGGAGGGATCCCCAGGGATCTCCAAACCCTGAGCTGCTCAGACGTGCCTTTAGGGCTGGTGGGACGGGATGAGCCGCTGTTCCCTACGGTATTCCCCGCTCCAGAGCCATCCAATCCATGCGGCCATCCTGTTCTCCAGGCGGGCAGGGTGCAGGACTGGAGATGCCAGCTGTCCTTTCTCAGGCACCGCTATGCTCCAGCGGCTGCCCGCTCTCCCCTCCTGCCGCAGGGAATTACACGGAGCAGCTCCGGATGCCTCCCGACCGCGTCCTGGGCTGCAATTGCCAAACTCCGGCACTCCAAAGCCATTAATCATCCTCTCCTCTTTTCCAATCAGGAAACTGCCACAAGAACCCTGACGTTAAAAGTCAAAAAAATATGACTGCCAGTTGTTTTGTTTTGTTTTGTTTTGGCCTTAACATTCATATTTTCCAGCAGATATGTGGGACAGCATCCTCTTTTTCCTTGTTCGGGCCAGGAGCAGTGGAGGAGGAAAAAAGAGAGGAGAGGAGGGGTTAAATAAAAGCTGAGATTCTCATGATCCTCAGAGCAGAAGTTTAAGTAAAATATCACATATCATGAGACAGATGATAAAATCATGAGCTGGCAGCATGGCTGCAACCCAGGAGAGCTCTTTGGAAAGCGTGCGGGAAGCTCTGCAGCACCTGGAAGCACATTCCACCATGGATTGGGATGTTTGGCATGGGACGGTTTAAAAATTTAATGACTTTTACTTTGGCATGGGAGAACGATTTTATACCTCAATCAAATCTGGGAATGTTTTCCAAAGGACACTGTAAGATGCCTGTGTGTCCTGCAGGTTACACCCTCACTTCCTTCCGGCCCTGTCCAATTTCAGATTCCTCATTAGGAAGTGCCAAAATGCCTGAGCTTTCCAAAAAAGCAAAGCTTAAAAAAAAAAAGGGCATATTTAAGCCATCTGGTTTTTTATTAACCTCCATCTTGGAATGTGGCAGTTCCTTCCCATCAAAATTTGCCAAGGGAAATCAACAGGAGGAAAAACCTCACGCCTGGATAAAATGCTGGGCTTTATGTAAAATAAAGATTGTGAGTTCGTGGTGATGCCACTCACACCTGGAGCACAGCGAGCCTGTGGTGTCCCACTGGGGACATCCCTGCTCCTCATCCTTCCCTTCTGGAGCCAGTGGGAGCGAGCAGAGCCCACCAGGGCCAGGGTGGGATGGGTGGGATGGGTGACTGTGCATTGCCAGGAATGGATGATGTTGGTTTGAGGCTCAGAAGCTCTCCTGGGGCCAAGCAGGCCAGAGGATGACGATGACTGGCTCAGTATAAATAGCCAAGGGGAAACGGTGGTTCCGGACAAAGGCGTAGAAAGGAGTTTGTGTGGTTTCTCCTGTTCAGCAGGTAGAAAAAACAACATCCTCCTCCTGAGTGCATCACCTTCCTCATTCAGAGCAATCAGTGTCAAAGGAAGTGATGTGGGATTCAGTTCTCTGGGCAGCCCTCTCTGAGCTGAGCTCCAGGATGCTGCCGGGAAATCCTTGTTGTCCCCAGAGCCCCAAGTTTGGGGTGTCCCCCTCGACGTCTGCCCTTTGGCCATGAACAGCTCACGGGAGATTGCTCAGCTGGGTAGAGCCTGGTGCTGATAACACGAGGTTTGGGGGTTTGGTGCCTCTCTGGGCCAGTTAAGAGTTGCACTTGATTCTGCCGGTTCCCCTCCAGTTTGGACAGTTCTGGGATTAGTACTGCTCTGTGAAGCAGTGGTGGAAGTGCAGGGCAGGACCACGGCTTGACTGAACAGAGATGATGCCTCTGCCCCGAGCTGGGCACATATGGAATGCCAGGGATAGCCAAGGTGGCAACGTGATGAAGATCATGGAATTGTTTAGGTTGGTAGAGACCTCTGAGATCAACAAGTCCAACCCAGCACTGCCAAGGCCACCACTGGCCCATGTCCCCAGCTGCCACATCCACAGGGATTTCAAATCCTGCCAGGGATGGGGACCCCACCACTGCCCTGGGCAGCTGTGACAGGACTGGAAACCCTTTCTGTGAAGAAACTCTTCCTGATATCCAAATAAACCTCCCCTGGCCCAGCCTGGGGCCGTTCCCTCTCCTCCTGTCCCTGTTCCTGGGAGCAGATCCCAAATCCCCCCGGCTGTCCCCTCCTGCCAGGGACTTGTGCAGAGCCAGAAATTCCCCCTGAGCCTTTCCCAGCTCCGTCAGCCTCTCCTGGGGCTCCAGCCCTTTCCCCAGTTCTGATTCCTTCTCACTCTCCAACCCCTCTATGGATTTTTTTGTGGTGTGGGGTCCCAAACTGCCCTTGTGATTCATGGTGGACATGGCACGAGATGAAACACATCGCTTGCTCCTCAGGGAGGACCTGAGGGATGAGGTCAGGAGGTGAAGGGATGAAGAGATGAGGGAATGAGGGGATGAGGGAATGAGGGGATGAGGGGATGAGGGGATGAGGGAACGAGGAATGAGGAATGAGGGGATGAGGGAATGGGGGAATGGGGGAAGGAGGAATGAGGGGATGAGGGCGCGGACGCCATGAGGGGAGGGCAGGCAGCGCCCCCTGGCGTCGCGCGCAAACCGCGGCGGGGCCGTGAGGCAATGGCGGAACCTGAGGCGCCGCCGCTCCCCGGCCCCGCCGCTCCCCGGCCCCCGCTGCTCCTGCTCGGTCCCGCTGCCCCTGCTCGGCCCCCGCCCGCTCCTCTTGGCTACGAAAGGAGCTTAAAAAATCCAGGCTTACTTGTTGGAGGTGCCGTGTAAATTGGTGAGTAGCGTGAAGTTGTTCCTCACGCTTCTTAGGCTGGCCAGCACCTGAGGGAGACAAAACCGCAGGTGTCACCGTCTCTGCTTTAATGCTTTAAAAACTTATTTTAGAGGGCAATATGCCACCAACTCACCTGGGCGAAAGGTGTGACGATCAGGTCGTCGCCATGCCTAAGGAAAAACGGAGGAAATGTATAAATTTCTGTACAAATTTACCTTCAAACAGAGCAAAATTCACCTCAGGGAATGAGCATTTTCCCGAGGGGCTTTTCCTCACGAATGAACCCATGCAGCATTTAGTTAACACCACATAAAGACTTGTTCCTAATGGAAACGTCATAGTGTATATCCAAACCAATCGGCTGGAGTGAGCGTTCGGACTGGGAACGCCAGGCAATAAAAGCCAGGAAATTCAAAAGTTAAGGCTCATGCTTGTACCACGGTGGAAAAAAACCAACCATAGCGGTGCGGGGAAAGGTCACCTTTGAATTTCCTGGCTTTTGTTGATCTCTGTCGCAGTCTTTAACCTTGTTCAGACGCCGGGTTTTGTCTGGCTGTTTTCATCATGGAAGATTTGAGCAGAAGTTGCGAGCAAAATACGCCACTGCCAGCAATAAGAGGGATTTTTTATTATTTATTTTATTTATTTTTTTTGTGTGTGGTATTAGTTATGGTATTTGTGCGTGTATGGAACATTCTGTATGATTTACCTAACTGGCAGGGTATAAAATCATTGAAAGATTTAGGTTGGGAGGGAGCTTAAAGCCCATCCAGTCCCACTCCCTGCCATGGCAGGGACATCTTCCAGCACCCCAGGTGGATCCAAACCCATCCAACCTGACCCTGGGCACTGCCAGGGATCCAAGGGCAGCCACAGCTGCTCTGGACACCCTGTGCCACCCTCCTAGCCAGGAATTTCTTCCCAATATCCATCTAAATCTACCTACTTTCAGCTTAAATCCATTCCCCCTTGTCCCCTCTTTTGGAGCCTCTTTAGGCACTCCTAGGAGCAACGTTGTGGTTAATTCTATTATTAATCCCATAATTAATAGCAGGATGCACTAAGCAAGGGCAGCAGAGCCGGCTCCAGGCTGCCACAGGACCCTCTGGAGAATCATCCACCAGTGCTGGACCCTTCCAAAGAGGAATTCTCCCTGCTGTGCTGCCACAGAGATCATCCCTTCATCCTCACTCAGGTATCAGTGCTATTAAATCTAAATTTAATTAAAATTGCCTCCACTTGATGCCCACGGTGGATGGACACTTCAGCTGCAGACAGCCACAAATTTGGTGGAAATGATGGGATTCCCCCACCCCAGCACACTGCTGGGAATTGTTACAACCCACCGTTTACACCAAACACTATTTGCAAAATTTGGAGTGTTTCCTTCAATAAATATTTACTCTGCTTTAACTCACAGCAGGGATATTTTCTCGCAGAGTTCTCGTGGGTCTGGCTAATATTCAGATTTCCATTCCGTGACAAAACTTTCGCAATGGTTCAGCTTTGTTTAACGAGCACTTTTTTTTTAATAAAGTTTAATGGCCACTTTAAAACTTTAAAATGTGTCTTTCAAAAGAAAGGGCTGTGAATCCAGGACATTCTGTGGGTATCGATCCTCTCGAGCTCAGCCATCAGTCTTGGGAACAGCTGTTCTAGGGAACATCCAAACAGGATGAGAACCAGCACACTGTAAATAAAAGTACAGCACAACTTCTCTGTTATTCCAGGATATGGCTTTGAAAGCTCTTCTGCTAAATTCTGGGGAAAATGGGAATATTTGAAGGATGGGATGGGAGAGGATGGACCAGCACCTGTTTTGTGCATTCTGTCTATGAAATGTGCCAGTCCCAGCCGTAATCTCCTTTTAACAGAGCTCTGAGGATTAAAGCAGCGCTGAAAGCTCTTAGAGAGTGTAAACCAGGAGCTGAATTGATGCTTACTGTTCACTCGGGAGGGACGAGTTCCTGGACATGGTCTTTGGTGAGAGGTCATAGTCGCTGTCGGATCTGTAGAGAAAGGACTCCCGGCGCTGGCTGTGGCCCGGGAACGTCGTGTGCAGGACGAGTCCCGACGAGGAGCTGGCCTGCGGGTCCAGCGGGCTGCGCCCTGGCGATGGGCCATTCTCCACATCGAAGCTGGGGACAAACACACACCGCGTGTCACCCGCTGCCACGAGGGGGCTTGCAGGGCATTGTCACCCCACTGAGGCTGTCACAGTGTCACCCCAGAGAGGCTGTCACTGTGTCACCCCAGCGTAACTCAGTGTCACCCCAGTGAGGCTGTCACAGTGTCACCCCACTGAGGCTGTCACTGTGTCACCCCAGTGTAACTCAGTGTCACCCAGTGAGGCTGTCACTGTGTCACCCAGTGAGGCTGTCACAGTATCACCCCAGCGTGGTTGTCACGGTGTCACCCCAGCGTGGCTCACACAGTGTCACCCCAGTGAGGCTGTCAGGGTCACCCCAGAGAGGCTGTCACAGTGACACCCAGTGAGGCTGTCACAGTGTCACCAGCCTGTGGTCACCAGAGCCGCTCGCTGGCGCGTTTCTCTCGTGTGCAAGGAGGACCCCGCAGGCTCCTGTCCTGCTCTGCTCGTGCTTCCTTCAGCATGAATTTCTCCAGCTCAGCACAGCTCTCAGCACGAGCACACAGCAGTGGGAGAGGGCAGGGACAGATGGGAGATGATGGAGAATCCATCCCTGTGAGGATGAGGGTGCCCAGAGCAGCTGTGGCTGTCCCTGGATCCCTGGATGTGCCCAAGGCCAGGCTGGAACACCCTGGGATAGTGGGAGGGGTCCCTGCCATGGCAGGGGATGGATGGAATGGGCTTTAAGGTCCCTCCCAACCCAAACCATTCCAGGTTTCCATGATTCTAAACACCCCACTCCACCCTCAAGGCTTTTTGCACAAGCCCTGGGGTTCAATTTGCCAAACCCCACTCCAAGTCTTACGAGCACAACAGGGATTAAAGACACCACAACGTGACAATGCTCCAGGCCAGCCCTGTCCCCATCTGCTCTGGAGCCAAACTTCTGAAATCCTGTGAGATCTGTGAGTGCTTGGCAGTTGTGGGAGCTGGATGCCCAAATCGTGTTTTAGCCATTCAAGGTATCAGTTCAGCGAATTTTAAACAGCTGTGCTGCAAAATGAAAGGCTGTTTAAAAACTAAAAAAAAAAGCACTAAACTTTTTGTCACCTTTTCCATTTTACACCCACTTTCTTGTGGTTTCATAACTTGGCTGCTGCAAACTGTGGCTGAAGTCAGCCTGGCCACTCTAGCGAACGACACCCCTCATAAACACTGAAAATGAGCAGGTTGGGCTCCTTTGCCTGGGCATTTGGGCCTGATAGAAACACCAGATGTGTGACCACGGCCCCGAGAGCCACGTGAGGCACGGCCACGCTCAGGAGGAATTCCCTTGCCTTTGGAAGTCAGGTTTTGTCTCCTTGCAGTAGGAGCCGAGCGCTTGCTCCAGCGCCTCATCCCATGCTGGATGTTGTCCCAGCAGGACACCAGGCCATGCCTTTCTCCAGCCCTCCACTCCTTAATCCAGAAGGTTAATGATCTTCTGGATTAATTAATTAATTCATTAATGCATTAATCCCTGCACCGTGGCAGGGAAGAGCCCAGCTCCCCCTCCTCTCAGCAGAGAGATCTTTAACCGTGGCACAAGGAGCACATAAAGCATTAGTGCCTGAACTTGCCTGAATCCTGCAAGTTTTCCAGATTTCTGCATCATTACTGGGATGAGCTGGACACATCCAGGCTGCCTTGGTGAGAAGCCAATGCCCAGCTGGGAATACCGTGGCTGCTCCAGCTCCTGGTGCCCGCTTCCTGCATTCCCTGTTCCAGCACCTGGAATGCTGCTGGACGGATCACGTGGTGAATCCAACTGAAAAGTGCTTTTATTCCTTTCCTCAAGCTCAACACGCAGCCACGCCAGCGCTCCTCAGGCTCTTTTTCCTTGGCCTTGAGCCAGCATTCATCCAGCCATGTGCTCAGCCAGAAGTTAACAGAAAATTCCCCCAAAAGTCACCGATTGCAGAGTTTGGAGTTACCTCTGCCAGGAGTGAACAGGCACTCCCAGAGGTACAGCCTGTGAGCAAGATCCTCAAAACCCAGCAACAACTCTGCAGTCACCACTTTTTAATAGTTACAAGAACTGGGATATGGGGAAATATTCCCCTTGGATGATCCAGCGTTAGGAAAATATGACCCGAGACACACAGAGCGAGAGTTTAACCTTGTGTGTGTCACCAGTTGCTCCTGGTTTGCACAACACCCACCAGAACTGAGTCCTGACGCCAAAAGTATCTCCCAAACAAACATTTGTAAGAACTGCAATGGGATTGTAAAGTTGTCCTCTCAGAGCTGCATTTCCCACTACTTTTTTTCCTATTGGAAGTTAACTGCTGAGCTCTGCTGGAAAAACTTCATCACCGTGTTCAGAACACTGCACACGCTGTGAGGGTCCTCCCCAAAGTTTGCACACCCCATAGGCTTTGTCCAAGTGGAAAGGGAAGCTGCACTTCCCTACTTAAAAATAAGGATGGCAGAGTACAAAGCACAAAAAAAATGGAGGAAGGGAAGGAAGGGAAGGAGGAAGGGAGGAGAGAGAGGAAGGAGAGGGAGGGAGGGAGGGAGGGAGGGAGGAAGGAAGGAAGGAAGGAAGGAAGGAAGGAAGGAGACAGCAGGTGGCAGGAGTTAGCTGTGATAGGCAGTGGCCCTGGACCTGTGTGAAGCTGTGCCTGA